CTGTGGTGGGAGAATCACTTGAGCCCGGGAGGCGGAGGTGGCAGTAAGCCGAGATCATGTCACTGCATTCCAGCCTGGGCGACAGAGTGAAACTTTGTCTCAAAAAAAAAAATAAAAAAAGGAAAAGGGGGAAATGGGTGAGGGACAGAATGATTTTTGCTGTATTTTGGAACTAAATGTTTGAAACTATAATTGACATAATTATGTCACATATAATTCACAACGTGTGTACATGTACTTTGTTTAGGAGACCAAGATACAAAATCCAAAGTTTAATCTGCAGACAGTCATCTAAGTTCAAAGTGCTCACAGTTTTTAACAAGCAATGTTGTCATTCTATCACGAACAAAATACATGTTCTCCACTAAATAACCTCCCTTCTTAATTGTAGAAAGTAGACATCTAACACCATACAGTTTTAGTCTCATGTGCATTTCAGCAATTATTTAGCTGCGACAATGGGAGAGACCATAGGAGCCAGGTTCTCCAAACCTTGTTTTACTAGCACAATGGGGTGGCAAGTTTGTGAATGAAGTTTATAAAAAGAAACGTTTTGAGGATTTTCGAATAAGAAACCATAGCATAAGAATTACTTTAATTAAAACCAGTATTGTACAACCCATCATTGTGTTACATTTCAGTGAAATGGTATACAGCAATAAGCATTCACTTGCATCTTTTAATGCATTTAATTCAATAAGCAGATTTTGAGCATTCATCAGATGCTCAGCTTGTGGGCCTTCAGAGATCAATGATGTCATCAAGGTGTTTGTCTCATAAGTCTGCTCATCCAGTAAGTATGAGATCCTAGAATTCTTACAATTATAAAACAAAATTTGTATCTATATTTTTATTTTTATTGGCCAAAAAGTATCCTGAAATTAATGTCACTGGATCAGTCTCATTGATCCAAGGTGAAACACCGCCTTTAATTTAGGTACAGTTGATTAAGGAGAAAACAGGAAGAAAATAGGAAGCTCTATTTTCATAAAAATACTGTTTTCCAAAGTATTCTTAATACAACTACTCGAAGCTTAGAATTCATTTTCCTCTGGAAATGTTACTTACATGGGAACAGCTAACACTTTAAGAAGAGTGTGTTTGATGTTCTTGGGCACCTATAGCTTATTTATTTTCTATTGGCAATACTCATATAAGTATTGAGTGTTTTTGTACATGCAAATGTACTCTGATCACGTTTTGTCTGGGAAAAAAAAATAGTCAACTGAAGTAGTTATAAGTGTTTATTTTCTTTACTTCTCTTTAAAGGCACACAGTTAGAGTACAGAATACAGACTTGTGCCCAGAAGTTTCACAGTAGCTTACATTTCAGCATGAAATTCAGTATCTGACGGTATATTATTTTCTCATTCCCATCAACATTTTTGCATGAACTGCATTATGCATAGCCTAGGATTTGGGGAAAGAGGTGTATAGATTAAATCCCACGGCCATGAACATTTTGCTTCAAAGTAAAATGCAAAAATAAAAGTAAAAATAATTACTTTTTACCTGAAGTCACTTCAATGTGAGTCTATTAAAATAAAAATATTTGAAAGAATTTCCTTTTTAAAAACATTATTTTGAAATAAATGCACCATTTTGAAATAGGCTAATGTGCACAAGCTCTTTCTTGGCCATATTATTTTCAATGTATGACTTTTTCATTTCAAAGGAAAGGAGCTCTTTTGCAAATGCTCTTTTCTAAAATGTAGAAGAACAATTTCCGCTGCAAAGTAGGTTGTGCAGAGCCTCTGTGATCTTACCTAAATTATTAATTTGGTTAATCAGTGCATTCCCTTCACAGTTATTCTAAAGGGAGACGAGTCCCACTCCCTGTTCAAAATTTTACACAATATTAATTAGCAAATTTTTATTTAAAAAATAAAAACAGTATTAAACCCAGTCAATGCCCAGTTGTCTTACACAATCTATATGATGCAAACAATGGTATATTTCATTATAGTTTGCACAAAGGAATTTGGTCTTTATTTTTCCTACATATGCAATCTGCATTTTATAACTGAGCAAACCTCCTTTCCAAACCCACTACAAATAATTTCTTAAGATGCAGAATTAGGACACTTGCCTCAAATCCTTTGATAGATTTTAGTTCATTTCTTGGGAGAAGGGTTCTGGTTGTTTCTTTTTTAATCAAAGCTACTCTGCTACATTGCTTTCCAAGCAGACCTCAGAATATTAGCAAAGACTGGTTCTGGCCTTGTAGTAATCTGAATATTAACAGTCATAGTTTTACAGCCCTTCCATTTTGAGTAATGCACTGCAACTTCCACAATTCAGCCGTCATTTTTTTCACTTCCATAGCTGGCCCTGGCCCTCAGAATGTCTGCGTGGTGTCACTGTGAACGTGCTCGGAACAGAGTTATATGGCATCATTTTGAGAAACATTGCGTTAATAACCAGAGTTCAAGGGCAAGGGATATAAATGGAGCAAATTACAAGTCTGAACAGATATACAGCTTTTGCTAAAAAGGACATGGGCTGCTACTTTATTTACTGGGCACTGGTGCACTTGTGGAAGGTACCAGGACGCAAAAAGGCATTTTTAAAGGACCACATCACAGCCTGAGAAAACAGCACACATTTTCAGACTAGAAAGAAAGCAAGTGCAAGGATCAACGATTCTGTTTCTTAATGAGAGAATATGATTTGCTATCAGGTACCTTAAGTTTCCAGTGTAATTTCACAAATGATATCATTTTGTGTGCCACCATGGAAGGAAAGCAGAGGATTGCTGGAAACCTAAATTCTATAGATCCTTTCAAACTGCATTTTTGTTCAATTTGTCAGGGATTTCTTGCTGTGCATATTGTAACCACTTTAACCAGGGTTATCACCCTAGTTCAAAATTAATACCATGAAAGAGTGATTTTTTAAAATGCTGTATTTTATTTTTATATATCAACTTCAGGGCTATTTCAATGATTGAAGAGAAACCAAAATTCAAAAGGGAGGAAAAAGTTTTTAAAGAAACCAAAGGACTTCATTAATAGCTAAAGAAAATGAGTATCAAAAAATAATTCCCACCTGCTACATTACCAAATATTTTTCCTAATAATTTCAATAACATAGAGCATACTTTTACAATGTGATGCATTTCACAAGGTATACATATATCAAAACATCACATTGTGTACCTTGAATATATACAATTTTTATTCGTCAATTTTACCTGGCTAAAGCTGAAAAAAATGTGATACAATATTTTTCTACTGGCAGGATGGAACTGTACAATTTTTTTTGTAAGGTAGCTTGAAAATGATTGTAAAAGCACTATCAAAATGTTCATAATGCATGCCCCATTTATTCCACTTAAATAAATTTCTTTGAAATCAAGAATTGAAAACAATGGAAATTTTGCCTCAAGATGTTCCTTACTGTGTTATTTACTCGAGTGAAACCCAAAAGCAACCTAAGTATCCAACATTGGGAAAATAGTTGGGCAAATCATATACACAGTTATTATTAAAACTGGTTAATATGGATATTCTCTAATAATATTAAAAAGTGCCTTTGACATAATGCTATGTGAATCACTACATAATCCCATGATTCAAATGTACTCTTTTATAAGTATATAAGCATATATATAAATAATTCGAGTAAGAAGCATGCATACATTTTAATTTACATGTGCATTTTTTTCATAGGCTGTGCCTGTTAGCCTGATGGGATTATTAGTTTCCTTTCACCATTTCTTTTTTCTAAACTTACTGTTATGCTCATCTGGTATTTGAAAGAGAAACACACTTAAACTTTCTCTCTCCACCCCCTCACTCTTCAATCAGTTATATAAAATACACCTCGGTGACATGTTTCCATCTCATTTATTACTACTTTAAACATGGCTTTCACTTTCTTTGTGGTAGTGGTCAGGGCAGAGGAGGATGGTTGAATTTTAAAGCACAGTTAAACAGAAAAACATTTTCCTCATAAAAAAAAAATTTTGTTTTGTTTTTATAAACTGTGTTGCTCTCAGAAGTAAATGAATCAGCACGTGCAGGACTGACTCCTTGACAGGAGATGCATTACCTTCAGCGTTGCGGCTTGCGCAGGAGGAATGCTTGCAGAGTGGACCTGTCTGTCCTTCAGCTGCCAAAGAAGAGCCCGGGTGACACAGCAGCTCTCTATCGGCCCCATTTCTATGGTGGTTCATGACTTACTCTCTCCTGCTATCGGTCTGCCCGCTTCGACCCTCACTCTCAACCTAAAGAGTTTTTAAAAGGACGTCTCTTAAATAGAACTGCCTAAAACGTGTTGTTATCCTTTTGCAAGGACAAACAAAACATATTCAAATTGTTCATGACTTTTAAACACGTAAAAGCTAGATAAATCATGAAAATATTGTACATTCTAATGTGAAAATACAGATCTTGAGCACATTCTATTTTTTCTTTTAGAAAAAATAAAAGCTTTACTAGCGTTGACTAGCAGATTATCTTACATTTTTATCCTGTGAATATCTAATGTGTATTGCCCACGCACCTCCTTTTTAACCCATTTTCAGTGGCTTTAATATGGTCTGAGATAAGGGGATGCCAACTGTTGAGGTCTGATTTTCTCTTTTTTCTCAGATACTGATAGGGTATCCTTCACATAAATGACAAATAAGACTTCTGAACTGTTTGCAATTTGGGAAGGGGAGGCTTCGCGGGTGGTTCCGTTGGTGAAACGACTTGTCAAACATCAGTCTGAAATTATTCGGGGGTTCTTCGCCCTCCACTTTACCATAGCGCGTCTTCCTTTCTCCCACAGAAATAGAACAGAAAGCAATCTTCAAAATGCAAACATTCCCAGCCCTGTGCTTTTGTGCAGGCATCTCGCTGTGTGCGCTGGGCACGGAGCGGCGCGCGCGCGCTCGCCTTTCCCTCAGCGGCCCCCCGCGGCTCGGACCAGGGACTGTAGACAGGCCATCCATCATCCGCCCTCCTCCCGCCGAGCGTCGAGCGTCGCTGCTGCGGCCAATCCGGCGGCAGGTGGGGCTGCACCTGAGGGACAGCCCGCCGCTTCCCTCCGCTCTCTCCACTGCGCTTGGCGTGCTAGAGATGCCCTTGTGAGCCACTGCGTTCTCCAAGGCCAGAACGAGACAGGTACGCAGGTGACCGGGACCGTGTGTGCGCTAAGTCCGCGGCTGGCAGCCAGGGGGGCGGCTGGAACGTGGGAGGACACGCTATCCCCGAATGCACACGCGTGCTGTGGATGGGTGTGTCATGTGTGTGTGGACACACGAGCCGTCCCTGGGTTTAGCCTCTTAAAAAGTTGAAGAATGAAGATGCTTACCTTTGGAAGGGGAGTGTAACTGAGAACACGTTTTAAGGATAGAATGTGTTGCCTCTGGTCTGTTTCTTGAGTGAACCCTTGATGGACTTTGCAAGCCACGCCATCTGAATTCCGCGTGCCCCATACATATACAGGCAGTATTCCCACAAAGCCTAAGTGAGAAATATTAACTCAACGCTAAAGATTAAATAGTCTCCATAGGATATAAAAATCACCCCAAACAAAAAGTTAACCCAGACCTCCAGGGCCATGAAAAGATTGTAACAACTTAAAGAAAAATAGGACGTCACACCACAGAGAAGCCTTCATTTTCCAAATAAGCACATTATTTGAGGTGGAATCAGCTTGCTTTTGTGGGGGCTAAAGGGGATATAGAGTTGCTTGGCTGTTCTGTGGAGGCGGCTAGGTAAGTCCTGCTCACATGTTACGGATTTTGTAAGTGGGCTCGATAACTCCCTTTGGTTTAAAAGATCCAAAACATATATTTTATCATGTAATTTGAGAACAAATGAGAACAAGCAGAATGCCTGCCTCCCCTGGTATGTTCCAGGAGTGTGTCTACATAGATGTCAATTATGTAAGACCAAGGCCTTGGAACACAACAGCCCTTCAGGTGGCTTCAAGGCTTCAAGATTTTTCAGAAAAGCATATTTCTTAAAGAAAAATACAAAATGAAAATAATAGCAACCACAACTGCAAGCATTACCTGACAACCTCCTGCCCCTGATTTGCTTTTGAATCATAAATCATGAAAAAGAGCGAGACAATGACTCCAGTTTTCCTGCCTTAAACAACTGGAACTGATAATGCCAACAAGGAAGAGAAATAAACAAGTGAGCTGTATTGCTGCAGAAGGAGGAGAGCTGGACTTAGAAACCTGGAGGTTCATCATCTCTAAGGACCTCCCAACCCTAAAAAGGGTCTCTTCCATTAAAGTTAGTGGTTCTCAAACCTGTCTTCATGTGAGATTCATATAGGCTTCTGCTTGGTCTTAAGAAATACAAATGCTCTGGTTTGATTGGTCTGGGGTGTGATGCAGGCATAAGTACTTGGGGTTAGGGAAATTTGGGGAAAACTTTCCAGTCAGTGGCATGTGCAGCCATCGAGCAATGCATTCCAATTCTGTTCTGTTTCATGGGATACATGAGATATTATTTGATTATATTTCATAAGATATATGAATGGTATTCATGAGATAGTATTCTGTTCTGTTTCATGGGATACAATCATCCACCCAGCCCACAGTTGCTTCCCCTCTCCACTCAAGCATATGCACAGATCCCACATTGGGTAAACAAAATCTCTCTTTTTTTTCTTATCCATCACTCACTCCTATTAGCATTTTGGTCTATTCATTCTGGTTGTTAAAATGTATCACTCCTCATTTGAACACCTTGATAGTAGTTTGGGATTTTTGTTATTTGCTATTGATGCATTTATATTTATATGATATTCTTTAAAATACTAACTTTCGGGGATTAGAAAGCAAGTGATAGACATGCTGTGAAATTCTGAAGTCCGAAATGTTTTTATCAGAACCTGGGGGCCCAGCATGGTGGAGAAGTTTCCCCTTCAGAGCATGGTCTTTGTTCATCCCCTTCAGGACCACCTGAGCCACTGGGGCTCACCCCACAGCAGGCTGGCTGCACATTTTGTATAAGCAGGACATACTTCCAGTTCACCAAAGTGGAACTGAAGTTTCTCTTTCCCTTGGATTTTCTCACTCTCCATGGCCAGCAGCGCCACATTTGTGGATTATGTTGTATGCATTACCTTGAGAGATAGATGATCTGTTCTTTGATTAGACACCCTGACCTTTTACGGGTGTTGATCATTGATCACGATCTAGGCTGGATAGAAAGCTCTTGACTCTGAAAAGTTACTCTGCTGCCAACACCACAGGGAAATGCAATTTCTGAGCCCTGGCAGTCACTGCAGCAGGACTCCCCTCAATTAGGATTTCTCTTGTTATTATTTTACTTTTTTTTAAAGCAAGCTGCAGCCTCTGCTGTCTAGCTCTAGCTTTTAGTTACAGTAATCAATTTTTCAGTATAACTGGCTATAACTGTTGGCTTAGATATTGAGTTTTCATGGGGCTTAGACAGAGTGTTCCCGTGAAGGGTCTTCTCCATACCTAGCAGACAGATGGGTAATAATACCATACATTAATATCTCCACATTGGTTTATGTGTGTTTGACGACAGTGCAAGCATAATTATTTTTGCCCAGTAAAAGCTATTAGAGATCTATTTGGTAGGTTTTACGATCAATAGCTCCTGTGATATTTGTGTAGCAGCCACAGAATAATCAATTGAAGGTCATATAAAGTAAATTACCATCCTCCTATAATGATTCTTTTTTCTAAATGAAAATTGGGTTTTATTATTTCATCAGGAGTCTCTCACAACACATGCTCTGTCTGTTTGAGAAAGAGAGATATAAAAGTTGTGAGCCTGTTTTGAACATAGTATTAATATCCATTATGTGAATTTATGGTATTGGATTATTGAATTAGTGGATTCACACTGGAATTCCTTCAAAACCCTTTCTTATGTACTCAGTGACACACTTAATAACAGTCAAGAGCAAACGGATGCCTTTGCCGCATGGTGGAGTGAGTCACTTTGCAAAAGTCAATCTTGGTAGATGTCTCTTTAAAGCAAATTTAGAGTTGGGTAAATGTGTTATATTGACAGTGTGACCGACTGAGCTTCTCTCTGCAAAACCTTCTGGAGAGTGACTGGTGAACTAAGCAGGAGATGGAGTCAGGAATGCTGAATACTAATGCATAGTCCATGAGTAGCTCAAGGTGAAATGGGGGCAAGTGGCAGGTGAAGAGGAGAGAGGCCTGTGCACCTGCTCTCCAGTCAGGCCTCTTCCTCACAAGAGATGCCTAACCTGGATTTCAGACTGGCAGTGCGAGCCAGAGTGATGGCTGTGCCTCTCTAAAAGATTGCAATTTGCCAACCGGAGGCACGCAATCCCCCAACTGTCTTAAAGGGACCCATTTTCAAAGTGTAGCCTTTCTTTTTGTGGGTGCAATCAGTTGTGCACTGAAAAACTGCAGCCACAGTTGGATAACTGCAGGCACAACAGGCCACAAGAGGCCTCTTTGCTCCAAATTTTGTACCTGCAACTAATTGCACTTACAGAAAATGGGAGTGTGGTAAAAGCTTTTTTAAAAATTGGGGCCAGTAAATTCTCCATGGAGGAAATAGGCAAGGAAAGACACAATTACTCACTTTCTTTAGGACAAAGGCAAATAGAGACATCCTTTCCTTCACACAGTTTCCTTCATCTAGTTTGTAGAGCATGGACTAGAAGCCAAATACTAGGTACCACAAATGCCCTGATCATCTGGGACATTGTCTGGGTCTCAGTGACATCTTGCAATTGTACAAGAAATCATCTACTGAAAAGTAGCCCAGAGAAGACATTAGTGAGTTTGAGACTATAACTCTGGCAACAAATTAATGAAGTGTTTTATAATAAACAGCAGAGGGGATTTTCTTTCTCTTTAAATAAATTGTTATTATTGTTAATTCCCATTTGCTTTGCAGATAACTCATGAAAAAAGTAAGATGGTAGGGACTCTAGATCTTATTCAAAAGGTAAATCAGGAGGCTCTCTGCATTTACATATATTTATAAATATATAAGCTATGTAGGTAATTACACATACAACAATATATATATAAATTATATATGGTATATCTGAATATGCACATATATACACATATAACACATATTTTATAGGTATACTTTTTTTTTTTGAGACAAAGTCTTGCTCTGTTGCCCAGTCTGGAGTGCAGTGGTGCAATCTCTGTTCACTGCAGCCTCCACCTTCTGGGTTCAATGATTCTCCTGCCTCATCCTTCTGAGTATCTGGGACTACAGGTGCACACCACTGTGCCCAGTTAATTTTTGTGATTTGAGTAGAGACGGGGTTTTGCCATGTTGGCCAGGCTGGTCTCTAACTCCTGACCTGAGGCAATCCAGCCACCTCAGCCTCCCAAAGTGCTGGGATTACAGGCATGAGCTACCGAACCAGGCTACATATACTTAATTATTTTTTTTGATGAAATTAGGGAAAGGGCAATCTTGCCTATTTTTTTTTTCAGCATTTCACTCTTGTTGCCCAGACTGAAGTGCAATGGCACCATCTTGGCTCACTGCAACCTCAGCCTCCCAGATTCAAGCAATTCTCCTGTCTTAGCCTCCCAAGTAGCTGGGATTACAGGCATGCACCACCATGCCTGGTTAATTTTGTATTTTTAATAGAGTCAGGATTTCTCCATGTTGGTTAGGCTGGTCTCAAACTCCTGATCTGAGATGATCCTCCCACCTTGGCCTCCCTAAGTGCTGAGATTAGAGGCTTGAGCAACAGTGCCTGGCTCAATCTTGCCTTTTAATGGATGCATAAATATGACTTGGGTAACTGCCAAGTCCTGATGGCTGAATTCCCTGCCTGGAGGGGTTTGTGAAGTCATGTCTCAATGATGGGTTTGTGAACCCATCTTACCATCTATTCTGTACTATTTAGTGATAAGCAAGGTGAGACTCAACTCAAAACTTTGTTTTCTACCTATTGCAGATGACCATAAATTAAGCTCTGGGAATTATAAATAAAATACAAAATAACATTTATGTTTTGAAATACAGTTCTTACAGAAATAGTTTGAAATATAATTTTATCTCAATAACAAATTTAATCACCAAACAAAACAAGAAAAGGTTTTAGTAGTTCTTATGGTTCCCAAGAAATTGTTGACAGAGTAGTGTAACAGGAATTAAAAAGTGAAGAAGTCCAG